CGTTGCATATTTCTGTCACTGGGCCGAGTCAGGTTGGGAGGAATTAACAATTTCCTGTGCTGGGCAAGATTTGGACAATAAACAATAAAGTGAAATTCCTGTCCCATTTCATGAGAATGACAACTTTCACAAGGCTGAATTTCTTCATTTCATGAGAATGACAACTTTCACAAGGCTGAATTTCTTCATTTCAAACGACAGAGACTTTTAATGAATGGAAGGCTAGGAGTTTTTAACAAGGCTAAGACTCTTCTGCTCCAACACCGTGGGAGGTTGTGGGTATACTCAGCTGTTTCTTGAAACGGAATTGTTGAGAGAATAAATTATTTGCAACAGACTTCTTCCTCTATGTTCTGCACAGAATGATCGACAAGCCTACTGTTGACTTCACTGAGAAATATTCTAGTACTTCCAACACTTTGGGAAAACCAGGCATCTCCAAAACCCTGAGAAAATCATTTGTTTTTAACTTCTGTGATTGTTGATGCAGTCGCTGACTCTGCCCACTTCACAGTCACGATATAATTGCATGCAACATTTCTTTGGATATCTGTCATTTTCTAAGTGTATAAGTCTGCACCAGAATTGAATGACGCAATGCACGCAATCAGACCGGTACTTGTTTATACCGGAACCTCCCGAAAACAACCGAAATCTCCCAAAACCACCCGAAACCACGAAACAATTTGTTATGCTATCTATCGCTCTGTGGATAAACTATTGTGTCGCTGGTTCTTGGTTCTTTCTATAAGAGAACATGATGGTTTGTGAAATCTTTGGTCAACTTCATTCTTTATTTTGTTTGAACTGATGAGCGACTGCTCAGGTCGCAATTCATAGCCTGTACTTCTTAGAATTTTCATTAGTGTTATAGTAGTATTCAAGTACAGATTTTCACATAATGTAATGGTGCGTTATTTACTTTCTGTTATCTTGTGCATGTTGTGAAGTATTCTAAGGAGAAGTGACCACGAAGTGACCCCTAAAATATTTTTGGGTGAAATTATTAAAACTTGGGATCACTTATTATCTATTATCTATTTGTGGTGGCCGAATGTTGCTGTTCAAAAGTCTTTTTAATGGCTGCATCGATCGACGTGCGGTTTTCGCCAAAAGATTCTTTACAATATTCTCCAGATCATGACGCCCTTGGTTTTTTTTTTCAGTTTGGAGACAGTTTTGCTGCAAAAAGCTAAATGTCTTTATTTCGCCGATCGCTTTTCTAGGCCGACGCTTCTGTCTCTGTAATTTTAGAAAATCTAGTGCGGAAGTGATATTTTGCGAGGCGTATTTTGTTTTGAGAGTATAGATCTTGACCTTATAATTTTTTGCATCTCTTAAGATTTATTGCTCCATTCCAGTAGAGTGTAAATATAGTAGGCCAATGACTTTCAGTTGATGTTAATGCACCGATCATTCCTTTCATTGAAAAGGGGCCCAGCTAGTATAATATATTTCCTGGACAAATGTCCAGAAACGTATGTAAGATTTTCTGTACCCTAAAGTGCTGTTTGAATGGATTTTAGAGCAGAGGGTAGAGAATTTTTAAAA